TACCAGTGGAGCCTTCATTCAAGCTAAGAATATGTAGTTGCTGATGTCTTTCCCTTTTGTACCCATAGTTCCTTGTTCACATAAAAGTAACTTAAATGATTGGTGGGGCAGAGAGATTTGTTTGACTGTGTCTGGGGCTAGTTAACTGGGTGTTTGTTGTTCCTGTCTTGGGAGATCTTTAGTTCCAAGCATGAACTTTTTCAAGGCTGACAGCCAGATGGTAAAAGATGACAATTAGAGGTATGAGGATTTTTCAAAGGGAGTAAAGTAACGTGGTTGTACTACTGTTTTGCTCAGAGCTCTGCTGTTTTGAAGGATTTAAATGACAAGGATACATTTTATTTATTTATTTATGTATTTATGTATGTGTGTATGTATTTATTTACGGTTGGAGTCTCACTCCGTCACCCAGGTTGGAGTGCAGTGGCACGCTCACGGCTACCCCAATGTCAATCTGCTGGTCTCAGGTGATCCTTCTGTCTCAGCCTTCCAAGTAGCCGGAACTACAGACGCATGCTACCATGCCTGGCTAATTTTTGATTTATTGTAGAGACGAGGTCTTGCCAAGTTGCCCAGACTGATCTCGAACCCGCAGGCTCAGGCAGTCCACTCGCCTCAGTCTCCCAAAGTGCTGGAATTACAGGCTGAGCCACCGATTCTGGTCTACAAGGATACACTTTAGATTTTGTGGTGTGTATGCAATCCTGGGATCAACCTCACTTAAGTAGAAAGCCTTTATCTGGGGCCTTTAGGTAGGGACCACTTTCAAAGCATACTTTGAGGTAAGTATAGCCTAAGACACAGATCAAGTATCAACTCTGCAATGATGATTTCCCAACTACCCCAGCCCACAGTCATTTTTCTTTCACCAAATACAATATTTATGTCTGTAATTTATTCATATTCTACTATATACTGGTATTAAGCTGTTCACTGACTCTATGGTCTGTCTCTCCAACTGTATGGTAAGTTCATTGTGGACCAGACAGTGTTTGAAATGTCTTTCAAACCTCATACAGTACTCTATACAGTCTGGGTCCTTGATAAATAATTGCTGCATGTCTCAAGACTAGTTTCTTTTATAATAATGACCTTCTCTCTTTTTCATTGACTTTGTTCATGTTTACCTGTATTTCAAAATTTCTGTTATAGTTTCTCCCTTCTCTTGTTCTTCAGGAACTGTTTAAATACCAATTTTATGGTATACATTGTGTGGATAAATATACAATATGGATGAACATGGGAAATAACTCTCTCTGTAGTTCACAGTATAAAGTGGAGAAGGTAAATAGGAAATCTAGATTCATCTCTCAGAGTTAAATATAGGCTATTACCTGTTTCTCTAGATAAGTGTGCTACAAAAGACCAGAGCAATATCTGGTTACACTTGAGCCAGTGCCCAAATTATGTCAGTTAACCCCTAGCTAGGCTTAAATGGGAATAGGCATGTAACCTCCCTCTAATTGGAATGATTTTCATATTTATAAAAGGGAAGGACCCTAATAGAAACCTTCAAGATACAAAGAAAGAGTTTTAATTATGTCTTTAATGGTTTGTGAAGGGCTTTTATAAATAAATTTTCAATAGGATTGAGAGGTAGAAGTTGTTTATATATGTGAAGTTGGGACATATTAGCTATGTTACCTACATTCAGGTATCTGATTATTATACTTATTGTATTGTTATTATACTTTATTTTTTCTCTTGTTCTCTCATATTTTAAGGGTCTCCAGAAAGAAAGGGGACTCTTTTGAGTAGTTCTTATATAGAAAAATGAAAAAAAAGTATAGTAACAATAAACACTGTTTATTTAGTGTTTACTTTGTGCTGGACATCATCTACAGACTTTGTGTTAACACAGTTAATCCTTTTAAAAATCCTGTGAGGTATGGGTACTATTTTTATTTCCATTTCACAGATGAGGAAATTGAGGTAAGGTTACTTGCCCAAAGAGCCAGATTCTGAACCCAGAAAGTTCCAAAGTCTGTCTTCTTAACCATTAAATGATCACTATAGCTGTAGCTATATCTTAACCATGTCTGCCAGTTTCAAGTTTGAATCCTAGTGGTTTTGCCTGTGGTTGACATCCTTTACTATTGAGTGAAAATGGTGTCTTCAAAGATGTTTTCATAAAAATTTCAGGCATTTATTTGAATTTGGATAAATATATGGACGAAATAGCATTCTGTTATTTTCTTCCACACTGAACTCACTCTTTTAGATCTAGATGTGGCTTTGCTCTGTCTGTATCTCTGTTCCCATTTCCTACTGAGGTACTAGAAGGAAAGGTGAAGTTCTGCAAAAGATTTTCCAACTAGTAAACAGATTGCTGCCAACTCAGGTGATCTAATGAAAAGAAATATAATTCTTCAGTCTGGGAATTTCACCCAGACAGATTTCAGGAAGCAAACAGAATCCTGCCCAAATTTTACCTTTGCTAATACAGCAAATTAATGAATGGGGACAGCTGCAAGGGACATTGAGGAAGGGACTGGGAATTATACAGGACCTTAGTCTTTCACTGCTCCCTGGGTTCTTTTGGACCTATCCCTGAACGTTGGGAACTTTAAAAACCAAAAAAAACGTAGTTCACTGGCCAAGATGCATAACTTCAGCTGCTAAAACATAGAACAGGTGGTGTAACTGGGCACAGTGTCTCATGCCTGTAATTCCAGCTACTTGAAAAGCTGAGGAGGGAGGATTCCTTGAGTCCAGAAGTTTGAAGTGTCAGTGAGCTATGATTGTGCCATTACACTCCAGCCTGGGTAACAGAGCAAGACCCTGTCTTTCTTTTTTTTTTTTTGAGTTGGGTTCTCACTCTGTTGCCCAGGCTGTAGTGTAGCCTTGATCTCCTGGCATGCACCACCATACCCAGCTAATTTTATATATTTTTTGTAGAGATGGGGATCACTGTCTGTTGCCTAAGCTGGTCTCAAACTCCAGAAGACCCTGTCTCTTAAAAAAAAAAGCTACAAATAGTATAGTTTTGAGTTAGCAGTTCCTATCTTTGTCCTTGTTGTCCCTAATTAAGTGTATTCCCTCACTTAGTCTTCACAACAAATCTGTGATATAGGTTCATAAATACACATTTTTTTCAGCTAAGAAACTGGGGCTTACAGTGTTGGTAACTTGCTCAAGATCATACAACTTTGAAGAATAAGAACCCTGTGATCCCAGCACTTTGGAAGGCCAAGGTGAGAGGATTGCCTGAGCCCATGGGTTTGAGACCAGCCTGAGCAACTTAGTGAGACCTCATCTTTACAATAAATCAAAAACCTCCCACGCCTGTAGTCTCAGCACTTTGGGAGGTAGCACGCGCCTGAAGTTCTGACTACTTGGAAGGCTGAGGCGGAAGGATCGCCAGAGTCTAGCGGGTCAATGTTGGGGTGACTGTGTGTGTGCCACTGCACTCCAGCCTGGGTGACGGAATGAGACTCCAACTAAAAACAAAACAAAACAAAACAAAAAACCACATTACCATTTGGAACCATATCAAATGAGCCACAGAATTGAAGAGAAAGTTGAAAAATGAGTAGGAAGGCATGAGACCCTAGGTAGCAGGGAGCATAGGCCAAACCCTATCAGGAAATAATCTAATTTGAACCCCACACTTGACACTTCTGCTATATGCTTAGCAAGCAGGGCTATTGGACTTTCCATGCAACCACAGAAAATTTATCAACTCTTTTTTGTTTTTGTGTTTTTCTTTCAAAATTCAAGTGAGAGCATCTAGTTGGCATCCCTCATTTTATATGCTAGTATTCTAGCTGCCAGAATATGGATGGGGAATGTCTGGCCTGTTCAGCTTCTTTAGTAGAGGATTGGGCACTGCTTCTTACCAAGACTGATGTAATCAAAGATTCAAAGGAAGAGTATTTGGACATTGGGCAAAAACAATACAAAGGGTAAACTTTACGTCCACAGAACCAGCCATGGTATGCAGATGTTCATGTAGTATTCTGCTAACAACTGGTTGAACTATGTACTATATCTTCCCCACAAGCCTAGTTGTTTTTTCCGAGGACCAGGGTCTGCCTAACTGAGTTCAATGGGACTATTGAACAGGCAGTACACAAAGTATAGGAATTTTCACATGAGAACATCTGACTGTTTCTGATTCACTAAAACTGAGATGAATGACCAGCAGAACCACCCAACTGTTAGGGTCTATCTGAGGAGGGAATATATAGAAAATACACCTGCAGGGAAAACCCCTACCTAACCTCTGGGCCTAATGGATCTTCAGTGTGGTATTATAAGGCCCTGAATTTATATGTTACTGTGCAATAATATTTCACTGTCGTTTTACCTAATTAACAATATTAAACAATTCCTTGTCATGGGAAGGAAAAATAATTCTTTTGCTTGCATGTCTTTCCCCTTCTCCAAGACTCTCTTTTCCTTAAGACTAGGGATCATATTGGTTTTATATCTTCAGTGTCTAGTATTGTGTCCTGCATATACGAGTAATAGAAAATGCTTAAAAATATTTGAATGACTTGCTGAATGAATATGTTTACCTTATCTTTTTCTGAAGCTGAAGTGATTCTTATGAGATGGTTGGAGAATTTATAGTCATGTATACTTAAAATATTTAAAAAAATTTTTTAGGTTAGAAAATAATTCTAGGCCGGGCACAATGGCTCAAGCCTGTAATCCCAGCACTTTGGGAGGTTGAGGCAAGAGGATTGCCTGAGTCTGGGGGTTTGAGACCAGCCTAGGCAACATGGTGAGACCTCGTCTCTACAATAAATCAAAAAATTAGCTGGGTTTGGTAGTGTGCGCCTGTAGTTCCAGGTACTTGGAAGGCTGAGGTGGAAGGATCACCAGAGCCCATCAAGTCGTTGCCAGGTTGACTATAAGTGTGCCACTGGACTCCAGCTTGGACGACGGAGTGAGACTCCAACTCAAAAAGAAAAAAAAGAAAAAAAGAAAAGAATTATAAATCTGCTATGGGAAGAAGGACCACAGCGACATTCCCTTTGTTTTTGTTGTTTCAGGTGTTCCAGGATTTGGGGAAGGAAGTACTCTCTGGAGCTGCCAAAGGCTATAATATATGCCTTTTTGCCTATGGGCAGACAGGCTCTGGGAAGACATATACTATGCTGGGGACTCCGGTGAGTATTAGTCAGAATTGTAATGAGATATCTTCCTAATGTCATAGTGAACTGGCATCTTGCATTGTCCTTGCCACTGTGAGATAGTATATGATTTCTATAGTCAGTCAATTTTAACAAGATTTAATGAGCCCCTTTTCTGTATTAAGAATGGGTTTTGGGGCATTTAATTTAAAAGTAAACTTTGAATAATTAGCCCCTCTTTATCAAATCCTAAGAGCTGTAGAATTTTATAGTTCCCTTTGACAAAGCAGATCATGTCAGTCTTACTGAACTTCTCATATTATTTCTAAGTTAATCACTTGAAGTTTTTAAACACCTTTGTTGTAGACAAGACCTGGACTGAATCTTTAAGTGCAAGCTAGGGCTATGCAGAGATTATATTATTGTGGCCAATCTCCAAGGCTGTATGTGTTAGATCTCGTGTTAGAAGAAAACAGGAGAACCAGCTCCTGGGCTGGAGGCTTTCAAAAGTATGTAGGATTTCATGAGAACCTTTTTTCATAATAGAAAATGAGAAGGGCAGAGTTCCTTAAGAATACCTCTTTGTTCTAGGTTTAGAAGTATCCTGGTGGGAAGGGGAAGGGGGTGACAAATAACACTACATATGGACATTGTCGAGGACACTATTCCTCCTTGATGATTATCCTTGCTGTTATAGGCCTGTGTTGCTTTGTCCATGTTTAGTACAATTTCACGGCATTTGAAATTAAAAGAAGAAATTGACTTTTAAACCAAGAATATGAAACCCTTAACCTGTGTATAAGTTAGCACTTGATAGATATAAGATAGAAAAAGACGCCAACTCTCTTAAGTGTGTATTTTAAATACTCATGTACTCTGGTAATGTGCGTTTATCCAAGAATGATGTAAAAGCAGGCTTGCTAGCTTCTCCTTGTTTATGGTAATAATCTGCCTCTCATCTGGTACATCTCTTCTGTGTCTCTTAAGAGCACTGACACATAAGCCTCTTCTGTATACCTCTAGTGAAACTGCCTGAAGTGAAGAGGCTACCACAAGGAGCCAGTGTGCCCATCACCTATGTTGAGGATGATTCCTGATGCTGGGTAGGGGAGAGCATCACCTTGAGTAAACAATGATACTTTCCTTTCTTCTGTTCTCCAGGCGTCTGTTGGGCTGATACCACGGATATGTGAGGTATAGACTCTTTTGACTGGATCCTCTCAAAGTAAGTCTCTGTACACTTCCTACAATGAAACCCCAACCTTCTGGTTTGTGCAGGGTCTCTTCATCAGGGAGGAAGACTATACCTCACTGCCTTCCTCCTGTAAGGTAAAAGTAAGGTAAGAATTTATCAAGCTGTAGGACCTAAAATATTTCTCCTTCTACTCAAAATTCTACTGTGTTCTGCTGTCCTCTCTTGGCTTCCAGTGTCATCAGAGGGAGGGAGAAAGGCCTCAGAAGAAATATCTTGCAGTACAGGAAGATGAGAAGCTTAGCTCCTTGGTTGTGGAAAACTTAATTCCCTACCCTTAGTCTTAACAGGAAAGTCTCTCTTTCTATGGCCCAGCTTACCCTGACTGTCTTGTTCCCCCCGCTTCCTTCCCTCCCTCCCTTCCTTCTTCTCTTCTCTCCTCTTCCCCCTCTCTCCTCCCCGCTTTCCCCTCCTTCTCTTCCTCCCCCTCTCTTCCCCTCCTTCTCTGTCTCCCTCTGTCTCCCTCTCCTCTCCTTTCTTTCTTTTTTGAGCCAGGGTCTCACTCTGTCACCCAGGTTGGAATGCAGTGGCATGATCGCAGTTCACAGCAACCACAGCCTCCTGGGCTCAGGTGATCTTTCCTCCTTAGCCTTCTGAGTAGCTTGGGATGACAGTCATGTGCCCCCTTACCTGGCTAATTTTTTTTTTTGAGTCAGAGTCTCACTCTGTCGCCCATGCTGGAGTGTAGTGGCACGCTTACGGCCACTGCAGCCTTGACCTGCTGGGCTCAGGTGATCCTTCGCCTCAGCCTTCCAAGTAACTAGAACTACAGGTGTGCACCACCACACCCGGCTAATTTTTCTTGATTTATTGTAGAGATGAGGTCTCAACCAAGTTGCCCAGGCTGGTCTTGAACCCCTGGGCTCAGGCAATCCTCTCACCTTGACCTCCCAAGGTGCTGGGATTATAGGCTTGAGCCACCACGCCTGGATCTTGACTAATTTAAACAAATTTTTTTTTTCGTGACAAGGTCTTGCTATGTTGTCTAGGCTGTTCTTGAACTTCTGGACTCAAGCAATTCTCTCTCCTTGGCCCCAGAGTGCTGGGATTAAATGAGCCACCACGCCCATCCGCTTTTCTTCACTCTCTATAGAGTTTGATACTAGCTTTTGGTATCTCTCTTTCAGTCCCCACTAAGTTATTCTCCAGGACTCCAGTAATTCTTAAACTCTAGTTCCAAGACTAGTGCTGGCTATTCCAAGATAATGTTTTAACCGATCTGTTAAAGCTGTGCACAGTGACTCATGCCTGTAATCCCAGGACTTTAGAAGGCTGAGATGGGAGGATCACTTGAAGCCAGGAGTTCAAGATCATCCTGGACAACACAGAGAGACTCTGTCTCTGCAAAAAAATTTAAAAACCAGCCAGGCATGGCAGCATGCTCCTGTAGTCCCAGCTACTCTGGAGGCTGAGGTAGGAGGATCAGTTGAGCCCAGGAATTTGAGGCTGTGGTGAGCTATGACAATGCCACTGCACTCCAGTCTGTGTGACAGCATGAGACACTATCTCAAAAAAAAAAAAAAAAGATAAAAATAACATTCACAATAATTTAATTTTTAAAAAAGACATGTCTTTTTGGGGTGATGAAAATTTTTTGGAATTAGATAGTAGTGGTGGTTGTACAACCTTGTAAACATTGTAAAAATTACTGAACTATACATATACACATGAACATTTTATAGTAAATGAATTAAAGCTCAATTTTTTTTTGAGTTGAAGTCTTACTCTGTTGCCCAAGCTGGAGTGCAGTAGTATGCTCACGGCCACCGCAGCCTTGACCTGCTAGGCTCAGGCGATCCTTCTGCCTTAACCTTCCAAGTAGCTGGGACTACAGGCATGTGCCACCACGCCCAGCTAGTTTTTTTATTTTTTATTTTGTAGAGATGAGGTCTCACCATGTTGCCCAGGCTGGTCTCGAACCCATGGGCTAGGCAATCCTCTCACCTCAGCCTCCCAAGGTATTGGGATTACAGGCGTGAGCCACTGCACCTGGCTCAATAATTATCGATATTTTTAAAGGGATAAAATATCAGTAGATATCTATGAGCTAGAGCATATCTTATATAGAATCCTAGAACATAAAATAGGTGAAATGAGAATTGCCCTACTTAAAGCAGAGGTGGGAATCAGAATTCTTCTCACTTAGTTTTTCTCATAGCAGAGGCCCTTAAGATTCCTTCACAGAACAATAGAACTCAAGAATCATGTTTGAAAATCACTCAAAAAACAAGCTCTATAGACTCTGTTGTGGAGGCTTGATTATGGCACAATCTGGTGATAGGACACTCTAAAAACCACATTGAAATGGCCCCTGAGAGTCAAACTTGAATCAGTATTAACATTATTAACCTAAAACCATGAAGTAATGAAGCCAGTGCTCAAAAACCCATTGTACACATGTGGAAAGAGACTAAAGGGGGAATCCTGGCTTGATCAAAGTCTTGGAGCGTCAGAGCTGGAATAAGAACTAAGATCTCCTCATTCTTGGCTTAGTGTTCTTCCTATATTTTTCAAAATCTAATGATGTTGCCTTTTCCCACCTGTCTCTAGTTTCCTGGAAATCTATAATGAACGGGTGCGAGATTTGTTGGAGCAATCTGGTCAAAAGAAGTCCTATACCCTACGGGTCAGGGAGCATCCAGAGATGGGACCATATGTACAAGGTGAGCCACTGAGGTCCTGGAGATCTGAGACCGAACTGAAACCTGGGAAGCTCTCCTAATATTTACTAATTCATTCATTCAATGTATGTGTAATGAATACTTACTATGTGCCAGTATTAGACACTGGATGTGTACTGATAAGTAGAAAAGATGTGGCCCTGCCTTCATAGGCAAGCTTACAGTCTAGTGAGTGTGAGTCAGAAAACACAATTATAAGTTGTTATAAAGACTAAAAAAAAAAAGATACAGTGCTAGAAAAGAACATTGGGAAGTGTAGGTGACCCATCCACATGGGGTGGTCAGGAAAACCTTTTGAGGAGGTAACAGGTAAGCTGAGACCTGAAAGGAGTATAGCAGCCAGTCATGTGAAGAATGACGTAGCTAGAGGAGAAGTGTTTCAGGAAGGGGGAGAGGCATGAACTAGAGCTCTGAGAGAAGGCTTGATGTTTTCCAGGAGGCCAGTGTGGCTAAAGCATGGTGAATGAGATAGAAAGCTAAATGGAATAAAGTTGTGCCTACAGGTGCCGGATCTGGCAAGACCTCAGCCAGCTCCCAGGACAGCCAGTCCCTTTCCAGGGTACTTTCTCTTAAATTGGTGGTAATAGTCAGGAGAGTGGGAGAGATGAAGAGATGTCACACATGGAGTATGTAGGGTCTGTTTTGCTTCCCCATCAGGCACAGATGTTTGGTGTTTTATACCTTTCCATCTTATTTCTTTAGACTGGGTCCTGCTACTAAGTAGAACTAGTTGGGGGTTTTGTGTGTGTGGACAAAGTTTTTACCTTTTCAGGCCACTTACAAGAAGTAACATAAAAATTTTATGTTACCATTCATGCAGCAGTATGCTAATTTAAATCCTAGTAAGGAGAGGGACATGAAAGATCAAGAGATGATCTCTTCTCTGATCCAGACATGACCAGTATATGATACAGTAGGTGTGTCAGTCACTGATTCTACTACCTGTGTCTTTTCCTAAATGTCCCATCATAAATGACCTCCTGGAAACAACAACAAAAATACCATTTACTTTTCTAGAAAACTCGTAAAACTCAGTGGGTATACATTTATGTGTAAAGCAGTACTTTCAGGACAGACCATGAGTTGATACAGTGGTGTCAAACTTCTCATCTTAAAATGGGATGTGTGAATGTGTGTGTATATGTGTGTGTGTGTGTGTGTGTGTGTGTGTGTGTGTGTGTGTGTGTGTGTGTAGTAACCAGAGGAAACCTCAGACATAGTCCAAATATCCTCTTTATACAGAAAACAAAATGAAATCTGGAGAAAGTTAAGGGATATTCGCAAAGACACACCGCTATTTGGGACCGGATTGGACTGGGAAACTTGCCTAGGACTGGAAGAGAGGAATGGGACAGAATCTTGTACGTTGGGTGCCTGGAAGGAGACCTAGGATCATAGCTTGACTGTCATAGTACCTGCAACTCAGAGAAGATATGAACTCATGCAGGTCATACAGCTTGAGTCATATGCCCAATGTCAGTGATAGGATCTAGACTAGAATCTGAGGGTACATGGCACAAAGCTCAGAGCTCTTTTGCATACCTTTATGGAGTGAATGTTTGAGGGGTGAATGCTTGAGGGGAGGCAGGATGTTTAATAGGATACTAAATTTTAAACCAGTGGAAAGTCTCTTAATCCTTGGTTACAGATTTTTCTTTCTCTCTCATTTTTTTTTTTTTTTGAGTTGGAGTCTCACTCTGTTGCCCAGACTGGAGTGCAGT